GTTTGCTTGTGCGCAATGCCATGGCAGCGCTTGCTTCATCTCTTGTTCATCATTTTTGTTTTCTTTTTGTTGGTTTTTCATGCATTGTAATTGGACGCTCATACAACGACAGCTGTGAACACACACACACACACACGCACACGCACGCACGCACGCACACACACACACACACACACACACGAATGCACTTTGTCAACTTACGCGCCTGCAAAACACGACCAGCTTTCTTCATACAACAAAGGAGACAACGAAACGCGCTGACTCAACAGGACAGCTCACACGCGTACAGACAAGACACACAGACACACACGTGCAGATAACAGCAGCGGTGCGCTTATGACAACATGGGATGGGGAGGGGGGAAGTGCAATGAGGAGGAAAGGAAACACAAAACAAGCAACCGAACCGAACGAGAGTACACTTTGTTGTTGTTGTTGTTGTTGTTGTTGTCGGTGTGCATCTGTTGGGCGGGCCTCAGAGGAACATTTTCCTGTGGATGATGGACGGGCCGACCTCGCTGTATTCCGCCTTGGACACCCAGATGCGCCGGAACGTGTCAAGCGACGCAAGGATGGACCCGCTGGCACCACCAATGGTGATGGCAATGATGATGATGGCAAAGGTGATGGTGACGAGCGGGAGTGGGAGAGGAGATGGATGAGTGGATGATGACGGACAGTCAAACCAAACAGCATCCGTAGGTTCACACACACCAACACACACCCACACCCATACCCACACCCACACCCATACCCACACCCACACCCACACACACCCACACACCCACACACCCACACACACACACACACACCCACTACCCCCCCACCCCACACACACACAACCCCCGCCCCCGCCCCCGGCATCGCCTGTTGTGGTTGTACCCGAGCCAGGTGGAGAATTGGCGCTCGGGCGGAGCCATGATCTTGATCTTGATGTCCTTCGGCGCATCAGCACGCACCTCCTTAAGCAGCCGCTGCCCAAAGCCCTGCAAAGGTCGTGTGTGAAAATTTTGTACACAAGTGCACGTTGCGTTAGTTTTTGGGCGAGGACCAAGAGCAATGCGAAGGCCACAGTGTCTGCATCAACAAGTGTGTGTGCGCACCTCGAAGCGGGTTGAGCCGCCAGAAAGGACGATGCCCTGATAAAGGGCGCGGCGCAGGTCCAGATCAGACTTCTGGATCGAATACGTCAGCACCTTGTGAACACCTGACGTAAGCAGCGGAGAGAGGGAGCGAAGAGACACGAAGGGGGAGGGGAAACCGTTGGTGTGGTGGTGGAGGTGCCGGCGGCGGAAACATGAGGTGGGCAGTGGTGCACGTGTGTAACGGGCATTGCCCGTAATTGAACGGATCGAATCAAGCAAGCCAGTGCGTACATCACATGAAAACACAAACTCCCAACCCTAACCACATCCACATCCGCATCCACACCACCATGTATCGCCATCAGTACGCCGCCAACAACGCCAGTGACTGAACGCACCTTCGCACTCCTCGCCAATAATCTCCGGGTTGAAGAGCACCTCGGGCGCCCTGTAGCGCGCGCCCTCAATCTACACACACACGCACACACAGACACACAGACACAGACACACGCACGCATGTGTAGGCGATAGTGTGAGACACAAATAGTCCCAGAAGCATGACCTTCCACTGCGGTAGCACAGCCACATTCATGTGCTCAGGCCTCTTCGCTCGCAAAAGCACAGGCGACAACACCCTGTTCTATGCTCTCTCTGCCCTTCCCCACACCACAACACCGCTCCCCTTTGTCACACCATGATCTCGCGGCCATCAGGGAGGCGATAGCGGGTGGGGGCGCGGTCTGTGCGTGCGTCCTCCTTCTCAGCGTTGTCCGACACGAAGCACGCCTTCTCCTTGATGGTGCGCACCACCTCAAACTCGGCCGACGTCTTGAAAATGTGGCCCTCCCGCCGCAGCAGCAGCTGAAGGTGCCGCGTCACGTCCCTGCACACACAGAGAGAGGCATTGAGGGGAGAGGCGAATGGGAGATGATAAGCGGGGTTGCAAACGACAACGTTGGTGCTTGATGGAACCGTGAACAAACAAGCACCGGGAGAGCGCACGTACCAGAAAAGGCATACATTCCCCACCACCCAGCCACCATGATCACCACGACCACAACAACAGCAACGCAAGCAAGTGCAGCGGTACCGGACCTTCCTGCGACGTCGATGCGGCGAATTGCATTCTTGACAGCAAATCCTTCGTAGACGGGCACGGCGTGCGTGACGCCATCACCACAGTCAAGCACCACACCCGTCGTGTTGCCGCTCGCGTACCTGATGTGCACATGGACGAATGGCGGGGGAGAGGGGCGGCGAAGGGTTGGAGAGCGTCAGTAGTGAGAGAGACAGGTCGTGTGTGTATTGGTTGAGGTGGTGAACGCATACACACGCACATGCACACACACACACACATTTGAGGCTGCGCAGTCACGCAGTTGCATTGGCAGTTGCGAATCAATCCAGCAGCAAGCA